CCACAAACACACACACACCCCGCACGCCCAGGGTCCGAGGGGAGGGGATACGCTCCCCCACAAACACACACACACCCCGCACGCCCAGGGTCCGAGGGGAGGGGATACGCTCCCCCCACACACCCCACGCAGAGGCCGGAGGGGACCCACACGCGCTCTCACCCGCGGTCCGCAGGGCCGTCTCGGGCCGGAGCGGGGCTGGCTGCGCTCCGCGACGGTCGAACAGGAGCGAGAGGCGGGGCCGGGAGGAGCCGGGGGCGGCCTCTGATCCCCTCCCCGCTCGGGCGCTCGCTCCCCGGAGGCGCCCCGGGCGCTCGGGCCCCGGGGGTGTGTGTGGAAAGCAGCGAACACGCTGCCGCCCGCGGGTCTGCCGGAGATCGCGGGGCAGAAGCGGCACCGGGGCCGAGCCAGGCAGCCCACCCCCGGCGGGCGGGGCGCCGCTCACCTCGTTTTGCGGCCTGCTGCAAACACCCTCCCCGAGCCCCGGCCGGAAAGCGCGGAAGGGGAGAGGGTGCGAATATGAGCCCGGCCCGATAGTGGGGGGAGGGGAATGGAACTAAGCGGGGGGGGGGAAGAGAAGAAGAAATCGCACACACACTTTTTTTGGGGGGGGGAGGGAGAAGAGAGAGAGAAGATGCAGCCTGGAGAGAGGCACATGCTGTGGCCACAGGGCCCCTCACTCTCCCCTGCACATCCTGGGGAAGCTGGCATGAACCCCCCCCACACACACACCTTGAAGCACAGCCCTGTTGGGACCTGGAAGGAGGGGCCGGGCCTGGGGCAGCAGTGAGGACAGATGGCACAAAATGCTCAGCAGCAGGAGAGGCAGGCAGATGCCAGGAGGTGCCCTTCTCACAGGAGTCCCAGCCATATGAACCGTACAGCAAGAAGGGGAAGGGGTTTTTGTGGGAGATACACATACAGCAAGCCCCATTGTACAGCACCTGGCACAACAATCCTGACTGGATTAAAGTTTAGGGACCGCTGTATACATAAAATCAGGCTCAACAGTCACCTCACTGCTCAGGTTCAAGACAACTGAACCTGCTACACACCCAGGAGTTGGTCAGTGCAGAGATTTGTTACACCTCTTACCCAGCTTTTGATATAACCATACACAATCCCTCCATGTATACAGGGTAGGATCTCATTTTAATCTTTTAATTAGTGGTCAAAAATATATAGCATGACAGTTTTACTGTTCAGGAGCACCAGATGATAATTGGCTGTTGGAATATTAAATTTGTGGCCCATAACATATGCCTTTTTAAGTTGTATGTTAAAAAAAAATCCTTGAGAAACAGTCTGGGTTTGATGAAAGACCTATACACCTCTTCATTTTTTGTTCATGTAGCATATTTAGGGTTAGAGCTAAAGGCCATTGAAGTCTGGCCCTCAAATATTTACAAGTATGGCGTTCTATATGATACGACTGGCATGGTACAGAATGCTTCAGAGGCATCAAGTCAAATAGTAAGTAAAAAGTAGGTATTTTCACAATGTAGCCTAAAGACACTACTAGGATATAGCAAGTAAAATGCTAGTTTAAAGAATGTTAACCTATTTAAGTCTCTATTTTTAACTTTCTAAATGGAAGCAATACTCAATGTAGCATAGCTGAAGGATGAATGGTACAATATGTACAATTCCCAGACAACAGCCTTTACTCAGAGTGAGGGTTTAATTAACTCATCTATGTTTACAGTGTTATTAGAATGTTGTAGTTGTATGAACTAAAGCATGAAAACTGGAAATTGTATTACCCATATGGTGCAACTCTAGCCTCTTTGCAAATATTCTTATTTTGTTGATACACTAGAGGTATGGACAATATTTGTATTTTGAGGTAAGATGCTGTCTGTATTTTAGCCAAGACATAAAACCCAAAACTCTGATCAGTGTTTGAGGGGGGGAGGGATAGCTAAGTGGTGTGAGCATTGGCTTGCTAAACCCAGGGTTGTGAGTTCAATCCTTGAGGGGGTCACCTAGGGATCTGGGGCAAAATCAGTACTTGGTCCTGCTAGTGAAGGCAGGGGGCTGGACTCAATGACCTTTCTACGTCCCTTCCAGTTCTATGAGATAGGTATTAAAAAAGAGGAGTCCCTGGCACTTTTCACAAGAGTTCCCTAGCCAAAATTCCAGCTTGCTCAATTATGCTCTGAGAGTCTAGGTATCCTACAGTTTTCATTGGATTTAGTGTTCTTTGCCCACAGAAAGAGTTTACATCAGAAAACAGTCTTAAATATTTGCACAATAGACTGTACTTTACTCTGCTTACTACATTAAAATGAAGCGGAAGTTTCTTTCTATATTTCTTCATTTATCTAGTCATCATGGGCATTCATTGACAATGACGCTAAATCCCAAGAGCCATAAAATGGAAAAAACAAAGCTCAAGGTATGCCATCAGCTGAGAGCTAGTGCCTGATTCTTTGGTGCACTAGTTTCCATTTGATGATTACTTAGTGGCCACTTCACGTTTGAGTCTCAGGCCAGTTCCTGGTGGACAGGTGTCCACTTCACAAAAGGCATGCACTTTGTGCCATTGTTTGCAGGCTTAGCAGCAAGGGCAAGGATTGATTGGGCAGAGTGACTAAGCATTCCTCATGCTTAAAGGTAGTCCTGGGGTTCAGGTAGATGGGCAGGGCAGGAGAGGGGAAATCTGAACTACGAACAATGCTGTACCTGTCCTGTATATAGAGGACTAAGGAGCTCACATATGCAAGGATTGCCTCTCCACTTTTACAGGGATCTCACTTGCACAAGCCAGTCATAGTTGTTACTGCATTGGGGAGCCAGAATGCCATCTACTCTGGACAGAGTGGATTGTAAGAGCTTACTTTAGCAGTCTCCTCTTAGTAATCATGAGTGTTTTCTGGCATTGGTATTTCTGGTAAGCATATTGGCACAAGAACAATAAATGTTAACATGCAGTGTAAGAATTAATGCCCATAATTAGCTGTGGAAATCTCCATAATCCATGAAGAGATTTTACTGTCACTTTGCAACTATACTTCCCAACAAACATCAGAACCTGGTGCTAGGCGTAAAGCTGAGCCTGTTACTGGGCATGACCCATGCTGCTCCCCACACAATGGGTTGGCTTGCTGATGAAGCAGCAATGCTAGGTGCCAATACAATGTGCTGCCATTTGGCAGACCCCAGCCAGTTTCCTTGTGCCCAGGCTTTTGCTCCCAAGAGGTCCTGAACACCTGCAATGTTACTTCAATTAGAGTTGCAAGTGCCAAGAACCTCTCAGAATTAAGCCCCAAGTTGGAAGGAGCTGAGATTCTGAGCTCGCCCTCTGTAGCAAAGTGAAGTCCAGGGTAGATGTGGCTTTAAACCATTTTGTGCCTCCTGAATTCTGGGCCTGCCCAGGCCCCAGCATAAGATTACAACAATCCCTGAGGCTGCTGTCAAAACTTTCCACTGCCTATTGAATACTCCACTCCCAGAGTGCTCTAGCTATGCCCCTGCCCATCCCCAGAATCTCCCCTTTTGTCCTTGACACACTCCTAGAGGCTGCAAGGGGTTGGTATTGGGTCATTATGCTAGCTCTGTGTTGCCCAGGGAGCTACAGTGTAGCTCCCTGGGCTACAGGGAATAGCCGCATAAAGGGGGCAGAATGCAGCCCAGGAGTGAAAAAAATCACACTGTAGGGGACAAGAGTGTTGTGTCAGTCCAGCCAGTAAAGCAGCAGCACCGATAGGCTCCAAAGGGCTCCTTACAGGTTTCATGAGCAAGGAGAACATGACTGTGACTCAGGGCCTCATGTTTGGGCAGAGGTGGCAAGCTGGAAGAAGTGAAGTTTCCAACATGGAAAAGATAAGGAGTCCAGACACAGGGTAGCTGATCCCTGTGAGTAGGCCAGGCTCAGTGTCCCTTTGCCTGAGCAGGTGGAGCCAACAGAAACAATTAAAGGAGGCAGGGCTACCCCGGGGGGCCTGTCAAAGGACAGGAAGAGGAGTGATTGGGGCAGCTTGTGCCTGGGGAGAGGAACCACAGAGAAGTGACACTTAACAGGGTGGTGGACCCCGGGAACAAGGGGTCAGGTGCTCTGGGAAGTAGCCCTAGGGCAGGTGTTCCAGAAGGGGAGCAGAGCTGGCTGTGAGAGGAGCTGGCTAAGACTGGGAAGCTGCAAGAAACAGGATTACTAAAAACACCTCAGAGGGGAGGCTGTGAAATCCCAGGACAATGGGTGAGCTGAAGGACTGTTTTAGTCTATTATGGGCTTATATTTGGACAAATAAACCTACTTAAAGGAGCCTGGGCAGGCAGTGAGTGTTGTTAAGCTGGGGAGAAACCCTGCCATGTCACACATGGTGCAGAATGCAGAAAGGGAGAGACACGAATCTCTGTTGCCCGGCAAAGTGGGGGAAAAACACAGGAAGGGGGATGCAGAGCTACCTTTGGCCACAAGGTGGCAGCCCCTGTTTTACAAGTACCCCTAAAAAAGCCCCACTCTTTTCTTACAGGAGGACTAACTCCAAGAAGAGTCACACACAGTAGTGCGCTATATATTAATACATGAACATAGCAATTAGCATACCGTATCAGTGCTCCTGCTAGTCCAGCGTCATATCTCCGACAGAGGCCTGTACCTTCCCCTGAAGCTTCTGGTACAAGAATCTTCATGCGGGACAATTATGGAATAACTTGTCTATTGGGGAAAATCTCTTCCCAATCCCAGGCAAAAAGTGGTGGCTTTATGCCCTGAAGTATGAGGATTTACATCTCTAAGTTTGTACAGTGGCTAGCACAATGGGTCTGTGATCCACAACTGGAATCCTTAGATGGTACCACGTAAGTAGCAATATAAATGTCTAATCCCTTTTTGAATCCTAAACTCTTGGACTCATTGATATCTTATGACATTGTGCAAAAATCACTCCTTTCATTAATATTAAGTATACCGCTATCTCAATATAATGCGAATTCGGATATAATGTGGTAAAGCAGTGCTCCGGGGGGCGGGGGGGAGGCTGCGCACTCCGGTGGATCAAAGCAAGTTCAATATAACGCGGTTTCACCTATAACACGGTAAGATTTTTTGGCTCCTGAGGAAAGCGTTATATCGAGGTAGAAGTATATGTTGCCTTTCAGTTTCATTAACATCCCCTTTTTCTCATATTATGACAGAGGGTAAATAGGAGTGTTTAATTTACCCTCTCTATACCCTTCATTCTGTATACCTCTTTCATGTCTCCATCTCCTCTCTAAACCAAGAGACCCAGTCTTCCAACTCTCCTCATACAGCAGGCCTTTGCCTTTCTCTAATCTATTTTTTCCACATCA